TCTCCGCGACATGTGGTGCGTCGGACTTGAATTCTTCACTTTCCAGCTGTTTTGGTGTTGTTGAGGCCGTCCAAGGATGTTCATGTAGCCTTAGTGTTGGAGAAAAGATGACAAAGAGGAGGCCAGCCAGGTGATATATCGATGACATTCAGCTCCTCGGGTGGAACCACCACATACCTTAGTTGTTGTGCTGGAGGAGGATTCGGTTGCAACTGTAGGCTTTCATCTATATCGCGTAGCGGATGAAGAAGGGAACTGGAATTCGGACGCACTTCAAATGGAGGCTTGATGGAGTCTGTCTGTCCCGTCTCATGTGCCCTCGCAGCCGCTGCTTTATTCGACTGCTGCTCCATGGCTAATAGCAGATGCAGTAGGCTAAAAAACTCCTCTCTATGTGTGAGGAGGTGGAGATGGAGGCTGGTGCTAAGTCTTTTGCCCGGATTAATGCGTACGTTGCGTGATGCGATCGCTGTGCACAATACTCAAGGGTGAGCAGCGTGCACCACTGGAGTGCAAATTCAAGTACCACTAATCTCACTTGTACGATTTTATGTCTCCTCATTGAGTTTGATCGTCTCCTCTGAGTGCTCATCTATCCTCCGCCCATGGATGTCTACTTGATGCCAGCCAATAGTGAGGGCATTTGCGCATGCGCCTGTGCGAAGTGTTCAACTTGGCATCCTCGATATCCCATTCCCAACGCACAATCGCGAGTTTATTTTACGAAGGGTGTTTGACGCGTATGCACAAGGGAGTATTACATTGCTTTGTTCCTTCAAACTCTGTTGCAAGTGTCTCAGTTGTGGATGCAGTGATAGCAGCCCCAGTAAGGGAGGGAGGAAGGGAGGGAGAAAGTGAGAAAGGTGGCAGAGCGATGCACTGGTGAGGGTAGATGTTTGTGCCGATAGAATGTGGTGGTCTGCTTGTGTGGATGCATTTGCGTTACAGCATCATCGCGTGATGTGGCTGTCAAGTGAGAGTGGAATTCATCGAGATGCGTTTGCCCACTTCACCTCACCTCATCTCACCTCAACCCATCCACTCTTCGACCCTGGTCTCATAACTACAAGGAGAGGCAATTGTCATTTGGCTCGCCACCTCTACACGCAA